TGAGAGAAAGGTTTCCAGGTTTGGCAATACTGAACCGTTGGTCACGCGTTGGTGGATATTGTTTCCCAGGTTCAGAACAAATGTTTCACCACCTGGTGTATTGCAGCTCTGTGGTGATACCTTTGAAATGGATGAAATTGATGATGACAAATGTCCATCCAGGGTGGGGGGGTGGGGCTTGCAGGAAAGGCATTTCCCTTCATTCATCCTAGAACCTACTTCTATGCACCAAAGAAAATCATCCCAATGGTTCCCCTTTCGTGTGGCTCGACCCATCAGTGTCCTTCTTAGAGCCTTCAAAGCAGGACAACCAGCTGTTTCAGTACGGTCAGGCCTAAACCTCCAAACTCCAAAAAAGCGAAAGGCACGGCAACATAGCACGTGATCAAAAGTTCTGGATCTGATTTGAGGAACAAACCAGGACTCTCACAAGTCTCACAAGGGCAACTAACTGTTTCAATATAAGTAAAACACACACACACAACATGTCACAACCAACCAAACAAAACCAAAACCAAACCAAGACCCCCCCACTGGCCCCACTTGTGCGTCGGCGTCGGCATGCTCGAGATTTGCGAAGCGTGCAGTTGCGAGGCATGGCTGGCCCTCAGCAGCTTCGCTGATTTGTGAGCCGAAGCACCAGGGGACGCGGACGTGGACGTGAACGATCGTGTCAGGGAAGACACCAACGGAAGTCATAGCCTACTAGTAACAAACGGCATCGCCGGCATCGCTACTAGGAGCAAGGACGCTACTAGTATAGCTCCTGGCCTTACTACTAGTAACAAGAAGCGCTACTAGTAGCAAGGACGCTCTTAGGTGGAGGCCATCTCTATTATAGGGATGCACGGAACTTTCTGAGAAGGCACTTGGACCCTCCTGCCGCCTACAAAAAGTGTCGAACAAATCACCCTCGTTCATCAGCACGGCTGGAGTTTTGGTTCACTTTGAGACGCCAAGAATCACGCCGGGTGGATGCGATAGAGCAAATATATATACCCTGGGAGTCAAAGACTATAAAAAGAATGGTCTTTAGGGGACCTGAAAGGGAACTTCCTTTACTCCAGCCGGTCAAAATATAGTCTTTGGACTTCTAGGGTATATATATGCGTATACGGGCAAAAAAGACCGACTGCTGGCACACTCTCTTTCATGTGCCTGAAGCTTTAAATGAAACGCTTTTGTAGTATATGCCACCCATTGCCCCAAGTGATGTCACACTCATATGCCACCTTCTGGGTCATCTACAAGATTCATGATTGAACTTAAAATCGATAGATTTTGTCAGTGTTTATCTTGATTTCGTACATCAAACAATGATGTTTGTTGATGGTGATGCTTCTCTCACAGCTGTTCCCAAAACACCTCCTCCACCACCTCCGCCACCCATCGCCACCCCCGTACCTCCGTACCTCCGCCGACGTGACGGTCCGTGACTGAACGCCGAGGGGCGCCAGGCGGTCGGAGATGGCGAACAACTGGCGATCGGAGTGCTCCAAGTCGCCGCTTTCTTTCAACTTGGACACTGACACGGCCGAGCCTGGCATCCGAAACGTCGATCCGGAGGGAGACTGTCAACGGCCGCGCTCCAGCCGGTTTGGGGGTGCCAACAACGGCTCGTTGTGACTTGCGGGGTGGCAAACCTTCGTGGTGTTGACAGGAAAGTCACTCTGTCCGAAGGTGTAACATATATAATAAATTACAGGTATCAATTCCAGCTTCTTCAGTTCGTGACCTTTTTGGAGTCCCATCCCGTGACCGACCTGGACTCCAGGCCTGTGACCGTGCCGAACCAACCAGGGGATCAAGTTCGGTCACGAACTGAAGAACCAGGAAGGAATATCTATTCGGTCTGAAGTATCGCTAACCTCAATCCACCATGGGGGCTGGGAGCGGCTCGGAAAGCCATGCTTGTAGGATCGAGAAAGACATATGGCTCCGAAGAAGTGAGTTTGACGGTCAGAAAGCCCCAGAAGATAAGATATGGGCTAAATGGGCTAGCCTTTAGACTACTACGTACTCTTGATCACATCTAGTTCTGGGCAGACCTCTTTCCTAAGCGAACGTGCTTCTCGGGCTTCAAGGATGCGCTATCATCTCTTTCTTGTTCTACGAACCACCGCGAAGCACCACTGCTTTGGCTAACTCTCTGGAACTAGCATGGAAGTGGATGACACCCCCTGTTGCATAGGCAAATGGTCTCCCAAGCAGCCATGACTGTAGCCATGCTGTTATAGTTCCAAGGAGTGGCCATGCCCTTCAACCAAGTGACTCAACAGCCCCTCCTCCCTCTGAAACCCGAGGACGGGCGCCGGAAAGGCCTCGATCGCTCAAGGGGTTGGACTGCAGCGAGTTGGCATGAGCGTGGCCGCCTGTTCCGGCGAGTTGGCATGGGTCGATGGATTTGGGATTTGGGAGCGACATCGGTGGTGGTCACCTCGGGGTGTGGATTTGACACCACCGAAAGAAACGACTGGTCCGGAGCACCCGTGCCAACACCAGGTCTGGTGTCCAAATCGGGTGCAGCAGGTGTAATCAGCAGCCCAGGTACATCGGCGATTCGTCGACACCAACCGCCAGGTACATGAAAAACGTCAGGTCCAGGCCGGCAAAGGAAGCCCTTTGTATTGGAAGATGGGACATCAGTTGTTGCTTTCGCGGTGGCAAAAAGACCATCTTTCGTATTTGTTTTCGGTGGTCACACCAAACTATGATCGTAGTTGATCTCTACAGCACCCATTTATGTCTTCTTCTACGATATTCAACCCTAAAGAAGGGTCAACTCGACCACCAAAATAAAGACGCCCAGATCCACAACACTATCGAATACAGCTTGTGATTACAACAACTATGCACCGGATGCAAGACTCAAGACCCTCGAATCCGCGGTCTTCGCTTTCTTTAATGGCAAGACCCTTGGCACCAAATGACCCAAAAAAACACCCCAAAAACCCCATCTTTCGGAGTTCTCCGCCGCTCCTGGGTGTGCCAAGATGGCCATATCCGCTGTATAGCGCTCCCCCAGCTTTCGATGGAGCTCCCAGAAGGTGTCCTGACACACATCTGCATCTTCCAGAGTGATCGGGTGCAAGGGTGGAAGTTCGAGAAGGACACATTTGAGGGCATGGGGTCGGACATTGGGCAGAAGCTTCTACAAAAGCAGGTGATTGAGATTGAGCCTATTGATGATTATTTAATATTCTTTAACAGTGGGATTTGCAATTTATTTCAAAACCTGGGAAAAGTAGACCGGGCCATGGCACCAAATGAACAACACCGGATCTGAAGATCTTGACAATACCAAACACCACTCACCGAGCGATGTGTCTTTCGCTGATGCTTTGAACACTCCAAAAAAGAAGGCCTCCAACTCGGACCCGTCCTGAAGCCTCTGTGAGGAGTGGTGCTCCACAGCGCTGCCTTTGGAGCTCTTGCGATGCAACATCTTGGGGCCGTGCCTGGCCGACGGCGTCAGGACGCTACGAAGGGAGCATAGGCATCTCTACGAACGGAGCGAGAGATGAACGGAAGAAAGATGGAAACCAACGAGGTCTGTGTTTCCGCTTGGCTGAGGTGAAAGAAGGATGCAGTGGGGAAGAGGGCCGGAATGAGCCCGGTATACATCAGAGGTCCGAGAAGCGGTGACACACGTTACGTATGTTCACCGCCTCCTCCACATGTTTATGCGAAAAGAAACAAAAGTCTATACAGCAGAAGAGGTTTAACACGCTCCAAACCAGGAGCTCCTCTTCTTTCTCAAGCCTCCCGTGGGCTGCCTTCTTCGATCGCACCATCTCCCCACCTCGATCGCATCGACGCACTGGCGCTGGAGCCCGGTGCCCCGATGGAGCTCGCCAGCGTCGTGGGCGCCAGCACCATGCCCGGCACCGGCGGCGTCGGATGCATCTGCGGCGAGCGCTGCGGCGTCGGCCGCGCCTGGGGGCTCACGCCGCGCTCCATGGCGGCGCTAGAGGGAGGGACACCGGGGGACGGACGGGTCGGGAGATTCGTTGCGACGGTGAAAGACAGGATAGATCCTGAAATGTGGGAAGTTCAGCAAACAACTGCAAGCAATTGGATCGTTGAAGGCCACAACTAAGGAGGCAGGCTCTATTGAGCGGGTAACACAAAAAGCAGGTCTTAAGGGGTTTTACAGTACTCATGGTAGGGGCAGGAGTCTTGCAATGATGCACAAAAACACTTCTCACATGGAGGTCCAGGTGCTGCCAAAAAGAACAACACATTCAAAAAAAATCCGGGAAAAAAAAAACATGAAAACCTCTATCTTGTTGGTGCCTCATCCCTTCTTCGTATCTTCACACCAGACCTTTTCCCCAGCTTCGTCCCGTCTGGAGCCACAGCTGGAGCGGCAATTCGGGCGGCAAGTGTCTCATATTTGGAGGATCTGTGGAGGGGGTTGATTCACGTTCTTTGTCAAATGGAAACGGGGGAATCGAGTCACTTTCTTTATCAGCATGGTTTGCTGCTGGTGTTCTTTACTTCGGGAGGTTCACTGAAATCTATCTGCAAGGGATGGCATGAATCTAACTCCCCCAAATATCAACAGCAACTGTGGTGTTGCGTTTATAACATGTTATAACCATGCATCTAGCATCAGGAAAATTCATCCATATTATATATGAATTCAATATGAATTCATCAATGTTCATCCACAATCCAATGATCCTGCACTTTTGCCACGCAAACAAACAAGAAAACACGTCATACTATGTGGATGAAGCAAATTCAACAGTTTCTCTTGCTCCATTCGCCGGAGAAATCCTCCGATCGAGCTAACTACGGTGGCGGGAGCCGCTGATCTTGGACCATGTTCCAAGGCGGTTTGGGGCGAACTGGAGTCCCACCCCCAAGCACCCTCCGAACCCCCCCCAAGCTCTCAATTCAATCGATCCATCCACCGACACCGAAGGAACCGCGGCTGTTAAACGTACGACTTGGCCCGCGCGCGCGCGCACGCACCACGGGTGGGCGCCCCGGACGGTGACGCCCAGCGACTGCGTGAAGAGTTCCGCCACGGCCTCGGAGGCCTGGACCGGCAGTCGGATGCGAAAACCGAGCTGAGCTAGTCCCAGACACTCCATGGGACTGGTATATTTGCCGATCAGTTGGGGTGGTGCCAGGGGGGTCAATTGATGGGCATATAGGGCAGTTACATGGGTCGTGTCTGGGAGTCCTTTTTGGAAAAAATCACCCAAATGTCCACGGTGACCACAAATCATTTGTTCACAGGCTTCACCTCAATTGTTCACAATGAGTGACCACAATTCAACCGGTCATGTTCATTTTTGGGACCAATCATTTTGGGACAGAGCGGTGACCTATATAGTATCCGTGTCCGTCCCTATAGGATTGCATGCTGGTCGGTTGAAGGACAAATCAATCAATGGAGGTGTCCCGGTGGTTTTCTTTCGTGCCTTTTGTTGAGTAGATCAATCATACCGACCGGGTCAACAAAGAAAGAACATTTCTTCAGAAGGAACACATAGAGACATCCACGTTGTTTTTGAACTCTGTTTTTCCAACCACGGACCCATTTCGTGTCCCAAACCTCTACGTTTACGTACCTGGACCCTCCAAAGTACCTTTGAAAATGGGGCATGACCCCATAAAAACACAGTACTAGTACTTCCACCCATTTTCCGAGGTACGAACGGGTCGACTCCAGGTAGGTACGAACGGGTCGACTCCAGGTATACCTGGGCCTGGATTTCCACCCGGCACTTGCCCAGCCCACGACGCCCGCCTTGAGCAGATCGCTCGCGGCGAAGTGTTCGGCCTTGTGATGTGCCAAGTAACCTGACCGGTCACGGACTCGAACGGCTTTCCTTGATCCGTCCCCGGTTCCGAATGCCGCCAGGATCGTGGATGACCCCCCGGTGACCCGGTGACCCGGTGGATCGTCCGCAACCGGGGTCGAACGCACGGAACGGCACGAGGAACGAACGTGACCTACGAGTTCCTCGTGGTTGGCTTTGGATCCACTGCGCAAACACGGCCCTTTTCCGCGACGTCGGGACGCGTGCACAGGATCTTGAGTTCGTGAGAAAGGCAAGTATCTCCAGGCAAGATAGGCTCATTTCAAACAAACACCAGCTGAAGATGGCAATCAAGACCACCTGGTTGTACCGGTTTTCGCCGAGGCACGTTCGAAGTAATGAGCCTCGGTCAGACTGTGAGCATGCTTCTGGTATGGCTAAAATTTTCAAAGGCCAAACAAAAATGAACCCAGGACAAGCAGGATGTTACATCCTGAGTCAGCTAGCCTATATCGTTTGTTAACCCCAAAGGGCAAATGGTTTGACCACTGATCTGCATGCACTCCTCCCACTTCACATGGATCAAAACATATCAACGCATGCCAGAAAATGAGTTGGACCCAAAGCTGAAAGGTCACAAGTTCCCAGGGAATGTTACAAGATTTACAAGACCAAATTGCTTATAAAACAATTTCCTACAAGCATCAAAAAGAACATCTGTTGATCTCTTTTGAAGTTCCATCGCTTTTTCCAAGTGGCGTAGCGCAGTAGCTCATGCTTCGACGCTGCCTGGCACGAGTCCGAGTCCAATAGCTTCCACCCACCCCATGGACTGTTTTTAATTCTTCATGTGGTTTTTCCCCAGATAGCGAAGCTATGGGGTTCTTACTTCAAATAACAATGAGTTGCCCGTGCGCGCTTTCGAGAGTGCTGTGAGCTGGCTGTGCATGCGGTGGAGACAGGTTGCTGGTGCTAGGTGCGGTGCTGGTGCTGCGAGCTGGAGACAGGTTGCTGGTGCTGGAGCTGGGTGCCGGTGCTCCGGTGCTGGTGCTGGTGCTGCGTGCCGGTGCTGGTGCTGTGAGCTGGCTGTGCACGTGGTGGAGACAGGGTGCCGGTGCTGGTGCTCGGTGCTGGCTGTGCGCGTGGTGGAGAGAGGGTGGTGGGTGCCGGTGCCGGGTGCCGGTGCTGGATGCTGGGTGCGCGCCTGGTGGAGAGGATTTTTTCCCGAGATAGCGACAGCTATGGGGTTCTTATTCTTTAAAAACAATGAGCTGGCTGCGCGCGCTTTCGAGACAAGGTGCCGGTGTTGGGTGCCGGTGCCGGGTGCTGGTGCGGGCTGTGGTGCTGGTGCTGGGTGCTGTGAGCTGGCAGTGCGCGCGGTGGAGACTGGGCGCCGGTGCTGGGTGCTGCCTGTCCACTTGGTGGAGACAGGGTGCCGGGTGCTGAGTGCCGGGTGCTAGGGGTCCCGGGTGCTGGTGCTGAGTATACCGGTGCTGGACGCTGGTGCTGGGCGGCGGTGTTGTGGTCCTGGGTGCTGGGGCTGTGAGCTGGCTGAGCGCGCGTTTAAGACGGGCGGCGGCGCTGGTCGGGTGCTGGCGCCGCTGCCGGTGTTGTCAGCTGGCAAAGCGCACCGGTGCTGGTGTCAGCTGGTTGTGCGCGCTGTGGAGGTGCCGTAAGCTGGCTGTGCAGGCTGCGTACATTCTTGTTCCAGCCAGGTCGTGGGATTCTGCCTAGCTATCTGGGTCTATGCTGGTGTAATTCATTCTTCATGTGGTTTCAAACGTGTTTTCGGGCTGCCGTCGTTACTTCCACTGGTTTTGAGCCATTCAGCGCCGAACCGAACGTGTGGGGCTCCCAGGGTCGAAACCTGGATCTGGCGGGTTACGCGGCGAAGGACGCACAGGACGCCCAAACCAGTCGCTCCACTCTCTGCGGAGGGAGGAGGTCTCCGCGACTGACTCGTCTCCCGAACCTGGCCTTTCCCACCACGTCCTCTTCGACCCTGCAGAGCCGGTTGCGTGGCCGGCGGTTGCGGTTGCGGAGTGACAAACAGGGCGGTTGGTCGTGCGAATGGAGAGCCCCTAATTAGAGGTGATTCCTTCAGGGTGTCCATGAAACTACCCCGAGGTCCTGGGGGTCCTGGTAGTCAGAGGTTATTTCAAGAATTGAAATCGGAGTCTCTGTCCTCATCACCTTTGAGATCTGGTTTGTTTTGGTGCGGCGTTTCGGCCCTTTAGGAGGCAAGGCAACAAAATGAGCGTAGACGGACGGATGAACAGAATAAGGAAAGTGCTCCATCTATGGGGGAGTCCTGGCATTCCAGTTGCTTGGCCTTAGTTGCTTTTGGCGGGTTTGATCAGCGGTTTTCAGAGTTCTGGCCTCAAAACAAGCAGAGAGGTCTACATGTGAATGAATGCAGTTGCTCCACTTGTATCTACAGTACATGGGTCTTGCTTCGCAAAACCTAGTTGACAAGTTCAAGTCACGCTTATAGAGACTCTTAGTGAATGAACGTGTCTATCTATAAGCCTTATCTGTGGTGGTTCAACATCCCCCAAGACATCCCTCTAAAGATCGATGCTCAGCTTGAAGAGAAGCTCTTGGTCACGGAACCTGCGTCACACACCACACCCGCGTTCTTGCGGAACCCGTGCGCACGCGCTTCGTCCGCCCCACCGCCCCGCTTGCTTCGAACCGAGCCACGCGTTGCACTGCCGGTGGTCATTCCATTTCTTCATGCCTGGATGGACTATGCAGACCGTGGTTCGACTCGTTCCAAAGGGGATCCGGGCGACGTGGTTTGTTTCGAAACGAACAGCATGACGGAACCCCACGACGTGGGGTCCATGAGTGTTGTCCATGAGTGTTAAGCGGTAGGGTAGTCAGTGGGATCAATCATTTCAACAAAGTAAGTAAAGATTCAAAACCACCGCCACCCAGCTGTATGTTTGCTACAGCCAGGTGTCCCCAAAAGGAAGGTGCTGGTGTGTGTGTCTGTGTGTGTGTTTGGTTCTTTGATGACAAAAACCAAGAGGGAGTTAACAATCAATGCAGCAGGCAAGCTTGACATGGCTGTAGTTGACGCATGTTGCCCTTGGATTTGCATCTCGTCAAGTTCGATTTGCATGTCACCCTTCCTAGAACAAACACAGCATCCACCTGCACCCACATAGTAAAGGCGAATAATTGTCAAGCCCAAATCATTCTTTAGGACTTTAGGGTATATACAATGCTATAAAATCCACTCCTGACAAAAATATAGTTATATACCCATATATCTTATAACTATAATGTCATTTAGGGTTAACTTGTGGGGTGGAACAAAAGAAAAAAAGCATCTGGAAAGAACACCCGTTCGCGCATAAGCTTAGTGGTAGACTCACAGTGGTAGACCTGTCAACTGGACTCCTGGAGCCACTTGGTCTTCCCCACGCCGCACACCGCTGAACCTCCCCGTCGCAAAAACGCTGGCGACTTGTGACTCGTCACAAATCCAGCAGAATTCGTGGCCACAACCTCCGGGCTTTCGACACGTCATGTGCCTCGGCAAGAGGTGCAAGTTCGGGATTGAATAAGTCCAACAACTGATTGGCTGAAGGTGGCACCAAAGATAGAAAGAAAAAGATAGAAAACTTATTGAAGCAAAGATCAGCTCACATGCAGCCTCCATTCTTCTCCTTGGTTCATTCGGAATAAAGACTGCGCGAACGCGTTGGCCGCGCGTTGGCTGAGATACGACACCCGGTAACACCGAGCTCGGCTGGAAGACAGAGAAAGTTCGGGCAACAAGCTCGGCTGTGTTGCCAGTGTCTTCTCTTTCTTCTTGAACTGTGCGGATATGGAGTAAAAAAGTAAGTGGTTCTTTTCATGGTTCTTATATGTTATGTCTTCTTCATATAAGCGACCATGTAGACGGATTCATCAACAACAGCATCCCAACCCCAAACCGGAGCTGATCACACGCTCGCCTCTATGCTGAAAAGAACCACTCCTCAGGTCGATCGATCTGTCCGGATCTGTACCAGGGCCCAGCCCTGGAAGAGAGCCACATGGTTTTTTCTGTACACCCACTGGGCGTGTATCTCGAGGAAAATGAGCTCAGCCGGCATCGTGACGAAGACGACGACTCGCGACGAGCGACTCGCCAGTATCTCGTGTTTTTGGCGCTACAAACCACGGGAGGCCGGCATCGCTTGGCGCAGAACATCGCTGCAACCGACATGTGCCGTGCGGAATAGATCGAGGAACAATACCTAAGCCTTCAGGGGAGGTGTCCTGACCGTGGTGAATGGAAGATCCCTGGAAGGGGGGTGTGACGGGGCGTTCAGATTCGTCTTCCGTTCATGGTTCAGATTCGCTCATTTTCCCGGGTGTCGTCCGGATGGTCCCATTCAGGCCGCTTCCTTCGAGTCCTTCGACACCAACACCATGGTCGTAGATGACGGATGGTCTGGTCATGTGGAGCAACGAGCTATAGGAAAAATGCTCAAACACACGTGACGCGATTCATTTCCAAAAGCTTTCGAAGTGTCTCAGCACAGCTATCTTCGATGCATCAGTCGATGTATCTTCAAGATCTTCAAAAGCCCAAGTGGCAATGGGATTTTGGCACTTGGGGCAGAGCTTGGTATTTGCCTTGATCCACACCACATCGCAACCTGCCAAGGGCAGCCACTGGCCAGTTGTGATAATAATCTAGCGCCAAATCCTCCCATCTCAACGTTGATGAATAAACACCCCCCCAAGACCGACCCTACATCAACATTTACATGCTTCATCGTCGGTCTACCATTCCCCAAAACCCCACTGCCTCACCGCAAGTCCATCACCTGCCGAACACCCTGCCTCGGGGCGCTCAGACTCCGAACACCCTGCCTTCCAGCCACCGAAACCCAACAACATCGAGACGGTGAGACCTTCAACTACACAGTTCCAACCCAAAGAATACATCACACCCACCAGCACCCGACTCTACAGGTCTCCGACCTTGTAGACTTTTCCAAGTCGCGGGTGGTGACCTGTTGGAAGGTCCTGGTAAATGGCCATACATACGAAGACTTCATGGCCCATGAAAGAAAAGCGCTGTCACCCAGAAAACCAGCGCTGTCCAGCACCTTCATCGCGGTTCTTCTCCTCCCAGCGCTTCACCGTGTCGCAGGTCACCGGGCGATGCACGTCGTTGCCGCAAAGGAAGCACCAGTCCGTGCCACAGCTGCGACAACTCACCTGCCGTGCGGACTAAGACAGCTGCATCCACACAGCGAGCAGCGGTTTTAAGAGCCGCGGTATAGAGACATTCAACTTATCTCCTAGTAAACACAGCTGCATTGGTATCAAGCTTCTCTTCACCAAACATGGGTTGCAAACCTTTGAGGCCAAAAGCCTTCAGACCAGTTCGCCTCGTCGGCGCCTCCCCTCCCGCCTCCGCGCCCGCCGCGCCCGGATGCTGGGCGGCCGCGCGGCAGCGCACGCCGGGGCACCAGCGGAGCTTGCCGCGGGAGTCCTCGTCCGGCGGACGAGGACTCCCGATGAGTCATGGAGGTTCCGATCCCAGATGCGACGATGGGCGGGTTGGGGCGGGTTGGCGGGTTGAAACCAGACTGCAGGAAAGGATTCGCACGATCTGAAAAATATTGCAGAATTTGCGCCGCCTTTGGGCTTGTTATAGTGATGAAAGGGCACAGATATTCTGCATAGTTCGAAGATCCAGGTACTTAAATGTTTGGGATGATCATTGTTGTTTCCGGGCTTCGGGCACACAACAAATTAAATGTGTTTCGTTTGTGGTGCCAAAAATCACTTTTGACTTTGATTTTGTTTTGGGGTGTGCTCTTTTGTTGTTGGTAGCTTTCCCCCGCTGCAACTCCCAGGCTGGCATAACCAGTAAGAATGATCTTTGTTTGGCTTTTGCATCCTTGAACTAGCAAGCAGCATGCTTGCGTTTGATCACTTTGTCTTCCAATACAACCCTGGCCAGCTGGGCAAACACCTATGTTACTGCTGATGGTTGTTACGACTGCTGCTGTTGCTTTCGATTGTTGTTTACCCATCCCTTTCCCTTGTTTGTTCCAAGGTTTCGCAGCTTCACTACCAGCACCTTCAAAGGGGTCACCACTGGAAGACCCTATACTACTCATGGATCTCCAGACGGGACACCCCTGGGAAGATCCAGGTATCATGATGTGGATAGTGTTTGCATGTCAGGAAATGAAAATACATGGTCCAAAAACCCGTTTCTCTGTGACAAGCCATTCGTTTCAACGGCCATGCCAACTCGATCCAAGCCGCATCCACCAAGCTCTCCGTGAGGAAGCGCTGATAACGCTCCAAGAGGGGTGCTTCCAGCAAGGCCATGAAGAGCGACGGGCGGACCAACTCCTGGTGCATCCACCAAGGAACTAAGGATTACTCATCAATGAGTGTTGAAGGTAAGTCACACATAGAAACATGCCCACTTTCACCGTCCACATTCGGTCCTTGCAGCTAGGTGCCGGGCATCTCAAGTCCAGGCAGCCTTGCAAAAAGACTGGTCTGTCTGGGATTGGCATATTTACCTGTATTGGGGTGGTTGGGCCCGGGATCAATGTATACTAAATTCTAATACAAACAATACATGGAACATCTGGTCATTCTGCTTGGGGTTTGTGAGCAACACCACAGCCGAAGTTCCCCCCACATTCCTGCCCCCCCAGCAACACAACGGCCCCACCGCGATTTGCACCACGTGAGGCGTGCTTCGCGCAGGCCTTTCCCTTCCAGGACGGCGCCCCTCAAGTACTGCCGCCAGCAGTTCCGGCAGAACAGCGCTTGGTCGGAGACCTTCGACTTCTGGGGGGGTCGAAGAGGATCGACAAAGAAACACATGTTAAAAGCGAAGACGGATGTATATGACCCAAATCAAAAAAAAATATGGTAACATCTTCTAGGATCATGGGTGAGGGTTTTGAGCTCTGAGCGAAAGTCGGGATGCAACATGTGTTCTGTCTTTGTCCACTGCAGTCCATGGTCAAGTGCAGATTCAGAACAAGTGTCTTTCTATGTTTCACAACATGACAACATTGGAAGTATAACAGTACACAGTATAACGGAATAAAAAGAGAAAAACACATTCTCAAGCTGCCAGGCGATTAGGATGCTCCGAAAAAAAAAAAAAAGAAGGGCCCTTTTCCTTGGAGAAGCGGGGCAGAGACTCGGACGACGTGCTCCATGCGTTACGGATTTCTGCGAGTCCTTCGAGTCCTTCGAGTTGTGTCGTCAGGGAACTGGGGGGCAGCAAACTGGGGACAGGGAACTAGGACCTCAACTGGACCTGATCCAAAAATACGTGGTCAGGACCAGGTGGATCCCACTGGACTTGGGAGATGTTTCGATTCTCCGGTGGAACTCTCTCCTTTGCTTGGGGGTTGCCGGTCCCAACGAAAGAACTGTCTTTTCTGGCGATGCTTCAGCGACAGGCCGAACCTTTGGGGTGTTCTTCCCCGCCTGGCAAGGCATGAGACTCTCTCCAGGCTCCGAGAAGCAAATGCCACAGAGGATCGGCCTAGGTGGAGCTGAAAGCGGCCCCCTGGACCATTGGCGGCGATGTGTGGCCAAAAGAACCTGTCCTGTGATGCTGGTGATGCCAATTTGTGATGTGCTTCAATGACTTATTTTGGATCGAAGGCATTAGGGTGGTATTACTGTATCATTGAATTCGCTATGTTTCAAACATGTCCCACACCTACGGCGCTTGGTGTTCCGCCCTGCCATTAGACTCCTTTAGATAGACTCACCACAGATCAAATTCACCAGACCAGTCGCACCAATCAGAAGTCACGAAAACAGAAGCCGAGAACCAACGACACAAGCCCTAGGGCTCCAAGTACCTCCTCAGAAGGTACTTGGAGCCCTATAGGGAAGATGAATCATCAATCCGAATCCTCAGCGAATCTCACCGAAATTCCGGCGGAGCCCGGAAATTCCTCCCGGTTTCAGCCCAGATCGCGGATCCAAGCGAACTCAGGTGTCGGGAGGTGTCGCCAAAAGAAACAGGAACTTCTCAGACCATCCATGTATGGAAGAAGCTACGAACGGAGCGATCAGGGCATCGCTACAAGTTAGGAGCGATCGGACGCTACTACGTTCCGGGGCTCTCCTGGCCGGAGCGATCAGGGCATCGCTACCGAAGAGTTGCAGGACCATCCATGACCTGGGACCTAAGGAATCCGGTGTTTGACCACCTAGGACCACCTAGGACCATCCGGTATGGAAGAGTTGCAGGACCATCCGGACCATCGAGCCGTTCGTGACCGTCCTTGAGCTCCCGTTTACGAGGCCGCGAAAGGTCACAGGCCACAAACGGAGCAGAGACTCCAGTTCGAGGTCACGAATGGCTCAGGTCCTGGTACATTTACATACAGTCTATACATACATATATGTCACCCCAATGCAAGTAACTCTCCCAGTCCCAGTCCGATGGTTGTAACTCGCTTCCGGGTGACCCATCAGAGGACATGAGGACGTCCTGCGGAGCTGTCGAGCACTCCGACAGCGGGGCGGAGAAGCGCCGACAGCGTGTCGCGGGGAGGAGATTCTCTGAAGAAGATGTTCTCGAGGTCTTGTTGAAGAGAACTTATATATTGAGGTCTTGTTGTTAAATCTTTTTGGAGTGGAATGAGGTGAATCGTTAAATGAGGTCAGGTCTCTAAGTCTTGTTTTGGTGCAACACATGATCCTTTTTTTGCGTGGTTCTTGACAGTAGGGATTTTGCATGATTTTACAATGAGTTGGATGACAACACCCAGATCAGGTCGTTGGCCTGGAGCTCTGTTGAATAGGCATGATGTGCTGGAACACGAAACCTCTCACTTGCTCAAGTATCCCAGCATTACATTTCACAACATGCAAACATAGAATACGCCTTATCTGCTGCATGTCGTCAGATATGGAACGCCGCATGTGTCATAAGGAAGCAAAAAGATAGGACATAAAAGAATTAGCCCAGCTGGAGACCCCAATAGCAAGATACAAACCGGGACAAAAAGAAAAATCTCGAAACAGCTGCTGTTTTCAACACATCGACCATCTCTTCCTTGGACACCATCATCACATAACCGGGACACCATCACAAAATGACCAGGGCACCATCAAAACATGACCGAGACACCGTCACAACATGATTGGGACACCATCACAACAACACCATCACAAGGTGACCGGGACACCAGCATGACATGACGGGGACACTATCACAACATGACCGGGACACCGTCACATGACCCGGACACCATCAAA